TGTTTTAGTACCAGACATCGGGTCTTCAGTACCAACTCTAACGAACATAAAAAAAAACGAATTTCGGTCTCAAATGATGTTTACATGGCGAATAACACTCCCACATTAGTTTCTATGAGATTTAAGATGTGTTTAATTAAGTTTAATTGCAAATTAGTCAAGAATTCAACACACTAATAAAAAAGCACTACTAATATACTTAATTTAAGGAAGTTGTGTTTTTAAACTGATACTAGTTTCTATTCGTAGTAGTACTCATTTTCTTTACATTAGTACCAATTTTATGGTGTTTCAGTACCGGATATTGGGTCGTCAGTACCAATTGTAACGAACATATGAAAACATCGAATTTCAGTCTCAAATAATGTTTAAATGACCCATGATCACTCTCACATTAGTTTCTATGAGATTTAAAATGTTTTTAATTGACTTTAATCGCAAATTGGTCATGAACTCGACACACTAATGAGAAAACACTACTAAACTCCATTTCATAGAATCATCATACATGACTACTCCAAATTGTACCTATATGTTTTAACTTCCACTATTTTTCATCGAAATCATGCGTGAACGATCCACGTGAAAAAGTAGACATGAACAATTAAAAAAATCACGATTCCTTAAACAATACTTGTTTTAATCAATATAGTACCGCATCTTCTTCTACGTGGTATCTGTTTTTGATCGATTAGTACCTACTTTTATGAAGCAAAATTGATTATTTCAATTTTGGTCAACATTTACAAAAAGTAGTACCGAGTAAGATAATACCACTTTTATGTTGTTGTAGTACCTAATATTGGGTCTTTAGTACCCCTTGTAACGAACACATAAAAACACCGAATGTCAGTCTCAAATGATGTTTATATGACTCATAATCACTCCCACACTAGTATATAGGAGATTTAAAATATTTTTAATTGAGTTTAATCATAAATGGTCATAATCTCGACACACTAATGATTAAACACTACTAATACATTTCATTTCATTAAATAACACACTTCATCTTATAGAATCATCATATATGACTACTACAAATTCTACCTATTTGTTTTAATTTTCACTATTTTTCATCCAAATTATGCATGAACGATCCACGTGTCGTGGTAGACATGAAGGAATAGAGAAATCATGATTCTTAAAATAGTACCTGTTTTAGCCAATATAGTACCGCATCTTCTTCTACGTGGTACCATTTTTTCATCGATTAGTACCAACTTTTGGTCCACAAAAATGAATTGTTCAATTGTGCTCAACATTTGTAATAATTGGTACCAGACCTAACGCAAGATAGTACCATCTTTCGGTGTTTTAGTACCAGATATTGGGTCTTTAATACCACTTGTAACGAACACAAAAAAAATGAATTTCGGTCCCAAATGGTGTTTATATGACTCATAATCACTCTCGCATTAGTTTATAGGAGATTTAAAATATTTTTAATTGAGTTTAATTGTAAAATGACCATAATCTTGACACACTAATGAGAAAATACTACTAATACATTTCATTTCATTGAATAACACACTTCATCTTATAGAATCATCATACATGACTACTACAAATTCTACCTATATGTTTTAATTTCCA